AAAAATAGCTGGTACGAACTGTGTGATACCTAATGACTAACCATAAATGAGACTCATCGTTGTAGGCTAAACCATGGACAATATGCTCCCTTAGTCTCTTGTGAGATCTTCAGTCATACAAGTTAAGTACTTGATTCCCAAACTGAATTGTTTGAAACTGGCTTCTCTACTTTCGCTTATCTGTAACAAATGAGGAAAATGGACGGAATTAGAAATGAAACAAACACATTTGAATATGCAAATTAATAAATTGGTGGCTAAAATAATTTCGAAAATGATTCAAAGGTGTCACTGAAAAGCTTTGTGCAACTTAAGAACTACGGAAGTTCACGTATATTTATTCGGATAAAATCTGTCTGGTTAGAGCGCTTCTCAGGAGTACTGTAAGTCGCTTTGGGTCATGTTTTTTGAAATACTACTGACTACTTGGAACGATTTTTTCTTGGAACGGAGGGTTTTGAATGCTACACTTGTGCCGAGTCCTGGTAATCGAAAAGAAAATTCATGTTATTGTGCCTTGGGCCGTTTTTCTCTCTGTATGAAGTCAGCAGTCTCCCAGGTAAAACCTTTTTTCATGTGTATCTGCTCAATCGAGATTGCCAAACTCTCGTTCTCTGAGTAGGTAGACAGATTATAATATCACCTAAAAAGGATGGAACTTGTGTGAAGAATTATTTTTCATCTTATCTTCTGTAACTAATATTACATATATCATCTTAAGATAACTGGAATAAGTGTTTACTCTCAAATGATCTTCGAAGATAGTTAACAAACCAGCAATGATGCAACAAACAACTTCGGACACTTGTTTCTAGTCAATTGGAACAGTTCATGATCTTCATATTCAAACCAAACTAGAGAATTCAAGGTAGGTATACCCATGGAATAACTTTGATATAGTGCAATTGTAGGAAATCTCGAGGAACAAAAATGGTTGATGTTCTCCAATACGTATTTGGAAGAGAATAACTTCGCAAGAAATCCGATAAACAAATAATGCATAGTGAGTTGTAAATTTCCCTTGTAACTTGAACAACTGTAGTTAGCTTAACTATCAAAAGATTTCAGTTATTGAAATGAACCCTTCACGTCTACCAGACTCCGCAACAACTAGATTGTTCGAACGATTACTTGAATCATCAGCATTGTGTATGAGTATGAGTTTCTCGAAAAGCTGCCAAATGGAAAAGTTACTGATGCTCCATACTACAAAACGTGAATGGTACAAATCTGCAGACAAAAATTAATTAATTTATCGAATCATTCTCCTTTCGTTTCTGTGCAAACAAGAAGGTGACAAGTGGGCTGTCGTTCTCGAATAGAAAGTTTCTTTAAAGAACAAGAACAAATTTCTTAATGTTTCTATTTAACTAAAGAAGCTCGCTCATCGTATTGTCTGGTCTGCAGTCGTTTTTTTTGTGTTTTCTCAAAGATGCGCAGCGACAACTTTTTGCTCATTGAGGTAAAATCGGAAGTTTCAAAAGAGAAATGTTTGTCTTGCTCCATTGTCTCATCAGATTTTTTCGTTTCTAATTTAATTGCTTTTTCAATTAATTATTGATGGCAGTGTAATTACCTCCCTTGACTACAACACCTATTAGCGCTCATTCTCTCTATCAATCTAAAATATTTTTCGAAATGTTCACCTTTCATTCATCCTCCTCCTCCTTATAGTTCATATGAAAGTTCTTCCATTTCACTAACATTTGCTGTTCCATAGCTGATGACAATAGTTGATTTCAATAGTTAACCATTGCCAACGTTCAACTGGTTTTCCTTCAAATTCAAAGCTTCTCCCGATGTTTTCCGAACCTCAAAAGATTGAAAGAGAAAACATAAGAAACTTTTCACAACAAATCATAAAAAAAAACATGAAAACACCTTTGTGAAAAATAAAAAAATCGTCAAAATCTTTGTTTTGGATTTTCACTGGAAACACAATCACTTTACCTCAGAAGTTAATACGACGAGAACTATTTTGAAATCATTCTTTTCCATTTTCCTATCTTGTTTTTTCCCGCGAAGCTTGTGCGCTTTTTCGATTCTTCTCACTTACTATTTCATTGACAGTTCAGCAAAGTCTTTGAAGTAGCATCTGCTTCCATCATATCTTCAGCTAATAGTCTCAAATTTTTTTCACACCCCAAATATGGTGCTAGATGACACATACACACACACACAACCAGCACTATTTGCTCGACCAGCTGAAGTATAAAAATACAGATGGGCTACATTAGAGATATCCATGTAATATAAAAAGATGATGATAGATTACGAAAAATGAAAAGGATGTGTGAAGTTGTGGCAGAAAAATGTCTAAAAAGATTTCCACGCCTTATGCTTATTTAGCTGCTTCGTGGACTTTAACCAAATCTCCAAAAAAAGAAAAAAGAAATCGTTTGTCATCATCAAACGATTTAACTGTTTATCGGTCTTTTAGCTCTTTACATCGTTTTATATCAAAAAAATGAATAATTTTGACGAAGCAAAAATTAGTTCTATCCTTTCTAACAGAATGTAGCTATCACACAGTTCCCATTGCTTTTCTGCTTCTCCGAGCTTATATTCATCTAGATGACGACAGATCATCAAGAAAATATTTTTTTTGCTACAAAATTTGCATAGTCTCAAATGCTTCTTCCAATAAAAATTACCAAAAAAAGTCAAAATGCAACAAAAAAAAAGCAAAAAGGGGAGGAGAAGCAGCCTAAAGGATCAAATGAAACTCAATGCTCTCCTCTTCATCTTTCTATTGCTTGTTCAACTAAAATTCTATAATTTTGATCCAAAAGCCTCTTGAATATCTCAGACGTTCACGAACTATTCTTATTCGTTTGTAAAAATGACTGCAAGAGAAAGAGAAAGAAGAGAGAGAGAGAGAGAGAGAGATGTATAGATATTGAGAGAGATTTTGAAAAAACTCTTTGAATCACTTTAAATTCAAAACGATTTCAGGAACGAAACGAACGAAAACTTTATACACACAACACTAGCTTATAATCAAGTAAGTTTATGATGAAATAAACTATTTTTATAATATAAATTATATTATTTCTTAACAACATCTTTATGCTTTAGTGAATAGAGATACTGAATCTTGGGAGAAGCTTTGTGACAAAGATGATCGACGATGGTCTTTTTCCGTAGGTACTGCCGGAGCAATTCTTCCAAATTGTCATGATGCCCGTTGCAGGAGAGATGAGGAGGCAGCTGAGATTTGGTAGATTTCATGTCTTCAAATTATTCGTCTTCTTCTTAACCGTATTTGCTGTAATAACAGTTCTTAGGACATCAGTTGACAGGTATGTGATGGACATAGCCAATAACAGCAAAAATGAATTATTTAAATATTATAGTTCAGTTTTCAAAAAATTGTCTTTTTTGAAAGCAAATAAACAACCGTTGATTGTTGTTATAACGCCGACATATAAGAGAGCTACCCGACTAGCAGACTTGACAAGGTGAGAGAATATAACAGAAAAAAAAACATTTGAAAAATAAAAAATAAAAAATATTCAAATACTAATCAAACAATTGATTTGAGGATGGCAAACACGCTGATGTTGATTAAAGATTTACATTGGATTGTAATTGAAGATTCGGATACAAAGCTTGAATGCATTGAGAGATTATTGAATCGTACGGGATTGCCATATTCGTATTTAGCAGCTAAGACTATCAGTGGATATCCAAGTACCTCATCTTCGAAAATGAAAAATGACAATCAATTACTATAATAGAGCGAGGATGGTATCAACGAACAGTCGCTTTGAATTATTTGAGAAAAAATAGAAAACAAATTCTTGATGGACATAAAGAAGGCGTCTTGTACTTTGGAGATGACGACAATTCTTATGATATACGTCTTTACAATGATTATCTAAGAAACGTTAAGAAACTAGGCTTATGGGCTGTTGGTAAGCTGGCAGAGACTTCAATGTTCAATAATCAAACTAACTTTAGGTATGGTGGGTGGTACACCTGTTGAATCTCCAGATGTTGTAAATGGAACTGTTGTCGGGTTCAGAGTGAAATGGAATCCTTCTCGTATGTTCGCTGTTGACATGGCTGGATTTGGTATAAATCTACAAATGGTTTTCAAGTAAGATTGAGAAGTATATAACAGTTAGTACTATTTACCTTGTAGCTCAACAGCTGTGTTCGGTACATCTTGTGGTCGTGGAGGAGGAGCCCCAGAAACTTGTTTGATAGAAGATATGGGACTAACTAGAAAAGATATTGAACCTTTTGGTTATGAGAAAGATGTGAGAATAGCTATTTATCAACATCATTGATTGACCAATGTTATAGTTTGATCGGGATATTGTGGTTTGGCATACGAAGAGCAATCAGCCAAGTTATGATATGACCAAGGCTGACCTCAATGGGTTCATCTACGAGTATAAGAAAAAAGAGAACACTGTGAGCTTCATGCATAAATATTTTTTGTTTATTCATATATTCAGACAGAGGCAGAAAGTCCAAAGAAAGCTGAAGAGAAGGCGCAGGTGAAGATAGGTTAGATTACTGCAAACCGCAACATCATGTACTTTTCATATTTTTTAGAAGAGACCGTGACAAAAAAGCAGCAGGAGTAATAAATAGTTATATGAACTATGCTAGTGATCAGTTTTTATTCATTGTGATATCTACGGGTTAATGAAGATTTTTATTAACACTCTCTATCTTTTATTCGGCTCTGACCGGAAGAACAACTTCGCCAGCTTGAGCGCCTGCTACAAAAGGAGCTTTAGGATCAGTCTCTTCTACAGGAACCTGCAACAATTGAACTATGTGAACAATTCGAGATATATTAACTTACCGCAGCCCATTGAATTACAAACTTATCTTCTTTAGCAGGACCTTTGTCTCTTCGAATTTCCAAAGGAGCTTTGCTTTGAGGATCAACAAAACCATAAACGGGTCTCACCCGGAAACATTCATTATTTGAACATTTTACCTGAAAAACAAAGGTTAAGCATTATCAGGTGAAAGAACTTACTTTGAAGGCGAGACGATCATCTGTTAGATTCAGAATTGAGTGTGTGGCATTACCACCGTTAGCTTCGAACTTGCCGACTGGAGGTTCAACATTCAAAGTAAGCTTTTCGTCAGCCATATTCAACCAGTTCACACGGTTTGAACAATAAGAATGAATTATGAGCAGAGGCAGAGTTCACGGCTTTACGTGACTCACGTGGAAAATTTCCGTGAAAATGCAAATGGCTACAGCCGAAAATTTTTTCAGAATAAAATACTTATAACTATTTTTGGGATGGAGCAATTTGGAATTCATAATCAGAAACATCTTGTTATTTTGATTTTGATTCATCACAGAGAGAGGTAGAAGGGGTTGATGTTATTAAGGTTCTCCTTGTGTTTCCAAAATAGTGGTTGTTCACTCATTCAGCACATCAGGGTATTATTGGACGATTCAAAATGTAACTGGATGTTATTGAATCATTTGATCTGTACTACAACGAAACAAACTACATGTAACAATGATGAAAGATGATTCCAAGAAAACAAATTGTGCGATTTGAACTCTAAAAGTTTCTTGGTCCATAAAAACGTTCTTTATACGAAAATGATGGCATTGAAGGAGATAGAGAGAGAAAGACAGATAGATAGGGGAGAAATGTGAGAGAGGACAAAAGATCAGGTGTGGTAAAGTAAAAGCTTATCAGTGGACATTTAATCTCTTTGAAAATCTCCTATTATATGCTGTTCGTTATCGTAAGGAAGAAAAAAAAGAATGACTATAAAAGGATTTTCTTCCATTCCTTTTATCAGTTCGTCTTCAAAATCTTTTGCGAGAATGAGGGGAATTCTAGCTGCAATCCTTTTGTCTGTTTTGTACATTCAAGCCGTTGACGGTTTTGTGAGTTTTTACTTGACAATATGCAAATGAACCATTTCATTTAGCTTAACAAATGCAGCATTTGCATCGACATCGCTAACAGAGCTAAGAAATCTGGATCAGGTTTGTGATCTTTACTTCCATTATGTACAACCTTGCCATTCTGTAGATTCTGAAAGCGTTACTAGGGCTAAAGCATTGATGGCAGCAGATTCCTATACAGGAGATTCTCATGATTTTTATGTATCTGAACTGAAGTATTCATTTGAATTTGAGATAAAATTACTAATTTGAATACTCCTAGTTGTCACTGGGATAAATACTATTCCGACGCTAACTTCCCTCTGATGACAACTTTCCCAGCAGCCACATGTGGAGACACCGCTTGCTGTCCAGCATCTGTAAGCGTGATGAATGAATTAAGATAACGAATACAGAAAAAATAATCTTAAGTATCAAATCTCAAATAACACCATTGTGGATAAGACCGGGACGAACACTCACTTCACACCTAATGCTTGTGTTGTTCCTAAAGTAGTTCTTTTGCATCACACAGTTACCGAAACCATTGGTGATACACTCAATGTTTTTGCTAAAAATGGACTCTCCGTTCAATACATTGGTGCTCTCAAAGCTCTTCAACTAATAAGTCATCTTTCTTTTGTAGTGGCAAGAAACGGAACCGTGTACCAACTTTTCAATGATGCAGTCCGAGCTTGGCATGCCGGTAATGGAAAGTTTGGAAACGTCAGTGACGTTAACACCTATTCCGTCGGAATTGAAATAGTAAACCACGGAGATGAAGCTTTCGATCCTCTTCAGGTGAGAAACTATTCCAGTTCCTGAAATAGCTAACTTTTAAACACAGATAGAAGGTGTAAAGGCATTGGTCAAAACTCTAAAGCTTCGTTGGAGAATCAGTGATACCTACGTTATTGGACACATGGAAATTGCGTAAATCAAAAAGAGAAATATCAAATCATTTCATAAACTTCAGACCCGGACGTAAGTCAGATCCTTCTGGATGGTTCCCATGGAGTGGCTTGGACGATTATTTGGGAATTTTCCCGGGACTCTACAATACAAACTTGACTTCAGCCCAACAAGCTCAAGTTATCTTCAATGCTTCAACAGTTGGATCTCAATCGTTAATACATTCTATTCAGAATAAATTAAAAAGGTAATTTCAAGCTTGCCTGATTTTGGAGTGTAATAATGAGCTTGTAGATGGGGATATGACTACTTACCCATGACAGCAGGAGTTGTTGATGAAAACACGAAAGTGAACATCCAGTCCTTCAATCGTAGATACGTTCCAGAGCTTTTCATAAAAGAGGTACGAACTAATCAAAAAAGTTTTTCACAATGTCTTTTGTTGCAGAAAATCATCGCTGAGCAGATTGTTTTCAATCCTGCTAACGAACAATGGTACAAACTGTCTGACGAAAGACTCAACAAGTTATTCGTTCTCTCAGCTCCTATGCAATGAGTATTCAAATGATAAAGAAACAAATAAACTAGTAGAAAATGGATTTTATGTTTGATTCTCTTTGTTAATCTTATAATACGAAGACAGCTGAGGCGACTGAATACGATAAAGAATCGAGTCAAGCACTCGAATTTCAGTTGGTGACAAATGATGAAAACTAATAGTTTCTTCGGCGAAAGCCTCCATTCCCTTAATTACAGTCATATGAATACGTTAAGAATAATAAAAACAGACTTTGAAAACTTTGTTCATGGCAAATTCCTTGTTTTCTTCGTTCCTTTCCATTATTGTGTTCATGGGTTCTGGATGAAACCGTTGCTGTCCTTTCGCATTTCTCGTATCGATCGGGAAAATGTTTTTGTGTGAAAAACACCTATAAATAAAAAACATGATAGATAATAGAAACAATGGCATTTTCCATGTAATTTTCTAAAATCACATCTCTGACGAGTAGTTTCTAGACGTTCATAACGTCTAAGATAACAAATATAATTTTACGAACGTTAAGATATCATGAAAAAGCATGAAAACAATTGTGCAAACAATTTGAACTCATGAAATGAGGTGTTGTACCTGCTCATCTCCAAATCTTCATAGGGGCCATTCAAGGGACATGCTGTTATATTAAAATATAATTCTTCAGCAAATATGCGAAGCGCTTCTCGCGAGATAGCATATGTCGCTCCACCAGACACATAGCCATGCTCCTGCAATTCAATCAATCATTCTATCTCTCGAATATCCTTATAGTAACTTACCAAATAAGGTTTATATGTATGTCCTATTAAATATGGTTTATTATGATCAAACTGTGAAAGGAACTCTTTCAAATGTTCAACAATTACGTAACTGTCATCGTCAGCCTCAAATAATTGAAGTTTGTAGAGTGCTGTAGATGTATTATAAGAAACCTTTAAATACCATTCAAAGTCTTTTGATATCTCTTGATATATATGATAAAAGGCATAGCGAGATTTGCGAAATAGTTTATACCAAGAATCTGGCATATTATGGAATACTGTCGTATAAGGAATGGATTCATCATCCATTGAATCTGAAGTGAAGAACTGGCCGTTGTCACATCTTTTCAACCATGTACTGTTAATTGCTTTTACCTTTAAGTATCTATCTTATGAATTTGGAATAATTTTTGAAAATACCCGTGTTGAATGATATTTTTTTGATGTTTGTACCCAACAGAACAACTTTCCCTTTTTAGGAAGAAGCTTAGCTGATATCGACTGATTAGTCTCCTGTATTAAGTCGGCATGCGTTCTCAAATAATAAAACGGCTGAGAAAGAGAAGAGAAACAAGACAAACCTCTCTTCTTCATAAATGATAAAAAAATAAAAGAAATATGCGATAATGAGGCAAACAACGACTATTCGAATAAGCTGCTTCACAGGAATAGAAATGAGATTTACAAAGATCATACAAGTAAACTGACTTCTTGTTTTAATTGAATATATTTATTACCTATTAGGCACATTTATAATATAAAGTATGCTATAATATAGAAATCGTATCGATAGAATATGCGTGTAATCAATTGTGAATATATTTAGATAACGATACTATTTGCCCTTATAAGTGATTCATGAAACCAATGTAGAAGGACTTACTCCCTCAATGTACCTTCTACATAGATCAGACATCTTGTAGAACGATGGGAATCACTTGTTTATTTGATGGTAAGTACTTTAAAGCCATCCATTTTGGTAACCAGTAATGACTAGGCGTTATCTGTGAGTGAAATGCTTCATAGGTTGTCGAATCACCATCGTAGAAAGCCATTTGACCACGTGATAGATAAGCCAACCACCAGCCATAACTTGACATTGTTGCTACAAAAATTACATTTACTCATGTTACTTATCGGTTCTATAATTAATCAATCATCTGATTCTGCTGATGTCCGCCACATGTTGCTCAGTAACCGTCTCTACTATGAGATGAGGTTTCATCTAAGCTTTCATTGACCAAAACAGAATGATTTGATTCGTGGAAAAAAACAATGCGGAACATATTTAGTGAACTTACACGTTAAGAGGACTTTGTCGCAGAAACGACGACTGAACTCCCAACCAACTGTTGGTCTATCTCTTTCATCAATCTCCGCTATATAAGTCCTCTTGAAGTTGGTAAAAAGCATTTGAGCCCAAGGAAGATCATTTGTCATGACATAGATATCAACTTTACTTTCAAATGATTCTGAATGCAAATGTATTATGATACCATATTTGAATTTCACCTAATGAAATCATATGAGACAGTGCTGCAATAGTGAAGTCAGCTTTGCTGTAAGCATTATTCAGTATTTTCTTGTTGTGTGATCGATGGACATGAACGCATAGACTGCAAAATACGAATTTTTGAATAATTCCATTACATAAAAAATTCTGAAGTTACTTTCTTCTGAAATATCGCGAGTCTTTAGTTTCTTTGAAAAGTTGATGACCCGCATGGAATCCTACGGTGGCAGTTGAGGTGAAAAAGATGTTCAACAATTCTTTTGGAAACGAATCAAAGTATTTATAACTCTTTAAAAGATGTTTATAAAATAGATCAAAACATGATCATTTTGATACCTTTGAGTTGGAAAACTTAACTTGAATTGTAGTTTCTCGTTGTTTACTTATGTATTGATCTAAACTTGAATCATGACTACAACATTTTTTATTTTGGACAATAACCAAATTGGGACAAGAACAGTAGCTCTGAAATCAAAGATCTGTATTGATTTGTCTTTGAGAATGACTCTTAACTGCGTTATGAGCATTAAAAAGATATCGACTAATCTCAGGATATACTTTTAATATCTTTTCAACTCCTTCTTTGGTAGCTACATCTGTCATTACAGGTGCTCTGAAGAAGAAAAAAAATAATTTTGTAATTATGCAAGTGAGAGCAGTAACCTATTAGTATCGTATGCCAAAGATATGAAAGACATCAACTCAAACATAACATCACCAACATTAGCTCCTGCTCTAGTGCCTGAGAGAGAGAGAGAGTAGAACTTCAAATGAAACAATTCAATATTTCTTTTTTACTTTCTAAAAATCCATCTAAACAGAAATCGTGAGAGGGCTTGGGTGTTTGGTCTAATCCACATGAAGACCATTTAGATAATCTAATTGATGAAGTTAAGAATAGAAAAGTAATATAGCTTACTCTACGATACAAATGAATATTGTGACGATTATGATACAAAAACTAAGTTGACGAGAACACGACCTCATCCCATAGAATATTCTTATTTGAAATAGTCACATAATACTACTTACTTCGTTCTCAATTTCCGACATATATAGATAAAGAATTCAAATAAAAAAACTGCTAATGCATAAAATCGTCCCTCCTATAGATTCAGATCGAATCGTAATCCCTCCATTTCATCTTAATTCCGAGAATAAAGTAAATAGTGGTTTTATTAAATTTTAATCTAACTTGACATACTCCTGTTCTTTGATACACTTCTCGAAACGTGAATCTACACGTGGCGTTTAACGTTCACGTGAACTTTCACTTCATGTTACTCATTCTGACTTTTTCGCGGTTGTGAGCGGCTGTGCATTATAATATGAGCAAACATCAAATATATATATAAATAATTTAATTTAAATCAAATCAGTTGCATCGTCAGATATATCAACGTGTAAACATGCAAAGCAACAGATCAGCTTGTAAATTGAAAAAAAATTAAATTCATATGTTAATAGCTGACCTGCTGCTTTATAATAAATATTGTTAATATAGTAAAGTTTCATATATTTTCAGATAAATTATTCTGCACATAGTGCTTGAATTAACTCTTAATTAGCATTATCTGCAGCAGCTGCAGCAGCCAACGATCGAAATACTTCATTTGGGTTGATCAACTCATGAAGGTATTTGTATCTGCCACCCTGGAAGTTGTAAAGTTATTGATTGACATCATTGTATAAACTACTTCTTTGAATTCTTGAACAGTGTGTCCTTCTCCTCTTAATATCCATTTAGTGGTTAAAAGACCATCGACTCCTACTGGTCCTCGAGCATGAATGCGTCCAGTTGAGATTCCAACTTCGGCCCCTGTTATAATTATCATAATTATTCCTTATAGATCGGAAATGAGTAATACCGAGTCCGAAACGATAACCATCAGCAAACCGTGTAGACGAGTTGTGGAAAGCACATGCACTATCCACATGTCTGAGGAAGTATTCGGCTGTACTGTCTTCAAATGAACAAAGTTAAACTCTCTAGTCTGATGTGGTGCATTACCGTTGTTTGTAACAATAGATTCAGTATGGCCTGATCCATATCGGATGATATGAGCTACAGCATCATCTGTATTATCAACAACCTGAACGATCATTGTTCAATTAAGGAAAAAAGGTTAGTGTCAGTCAAACCTCAAGGGTGCATTCTAAACATCCGTATTCGAACTTCAAACTCTCGGCAAGTGGAGGACCGAACTTGAGCATAGATTGAAGTTTGGGTCCGGCGTGTATTTTGACTCCTTCAGTCTGAAAATAAAACATGAAAATCACATATATGTTACTGAAAGAACCTTGAACATTCCACATAGTTGGTCAAAGAATGGAGTGTTAACAAGATCTCTGTGAATCAAAATAGTTTCAACAGCATTACAAGCTGAAGGATAGTCACATTTTGAATCCCTCACAATGTCCAGAGCCATCTGAAGAGATTTCAAATTTACAACCTTAATTTTCCATTTTCATCAAATTACTTGTTCATCACAGTCCTTATCAATATACACGTGACAAATTCCTTCAGCATGCCCAAGAACTGGAATTCCCTTGCTTTTCTCCTGCATAGTTCGAACTAAATCAGAAGATCCACGTGGAATGACTAAGTCAATCATATCCTGAAAATTTCTTTAACAATCACATGTGAAAGAAACGGGCGGACCTTCAATTGAAGAAGTTCAGCTACATCTTCGCGACTTCTAACTAGTGTTACGGCGTCTCTCATTTCATATCCATGAGTACCAAGAGCTTCCTTCAAACATAAAATGAGAAAATAACTGTTGAATCACTAACTTGAACAATGCTGTGAAGCATGCGGTTACTTTCATCAGCTTCTTTTCCTCCTTTCAACAGAAGAGAGTTACCAGAAGCCATGGCCAAACTAGCTACCTGTAAAGTATTATTTAAGATCACTCTCATAACCTATTCAAATACTTGTGGGAGACAGTCTGGTCGAGACTCGAAGATAACCATCAATGATCCGATGGGTACGGTGACTTGTTCCAAATACAATTTATCAGATACTTTAACCTGAAAATAAAAGTTGGAAAGTTGATAAACTTTTGCTTTCTAACTTTTCTGAGCGTTCTTCCTATTAGAGTTTCAGCTGAATCAGCAATGGTTAACAACCCACTATGGAGATCATTAATCTTGGCTTTAGTCATCTTCAGACGATTCAATAAAGCAGGTTCCAATCCTTAAATAGTCATGAACACTTCTCTGAACTTAATCAAATACCGTTGGCTTTGGCAATATTCATATCAGCTCTGTTTGCTTCAAGGATATCGTTTTCTCTTGTGACCAGGAGGCCAGCCAAATGACGGACCATAGCAGCTCTCTCGGAGTTAGATAGTCTCGATAATTGTCTTCCAGCATCTCGGCCTTAAACGGGAAGCGTTCATAAAACATGATCCCTTGTAAGAAATTCAAGATAATATTTTGGTCAAGAGCATAGTTTGGTCATTGAGAACGATAAGATATGAATTTATAATTCGATAAAGTGATCTGTTCTTTATCAATTTGAATGACCAGACAGTCATGATATTTGAAACGTGCTCACTCTCGTTGATAGCTTGTGTGAAACATTGAAAAAGATTTACATTTTGAAGCAACTTCCTCTGTTGGAGGTCCCTCATGACTGTGAGTGCGGCAGAACATTGTTCCGATTTTCTTTCCAGCAACAGCCTCAGTTATAGCGTTTTGAGATAACCCATTGGTGATAACTGTTGTTACGCCGTTCTCTAAAGCATGGACACAGGCTTGAACCTAAACATCCTTTCTGTTACTTAGGTGCAAAAAATAGTTCAAACTTTGCTCTCCATTCCTCCTGTACCGAATTTGCTGTTTGCTCCGAATACTACATGAGCACTTTCACTGGGGACAAATGTGTGCAAAAGACGTGAACCTTCCATATCAGGTGGACCTAATGCAGGATATCACTGTGAACTATGGAACATTCTGCTACCCACCTGTATACACTCCATTAACATTTGAAAGAATAATGAGAAGTTCTGCTTCAATTTCAGATGCCAAACGAGCAGCGAGGGAGTCATTGTCAGATATGTGCTGCAATACCAACGTTGTAGATCAGAGTAGAAAGACATCTATACCATATTAAGTTTTGGATCTGGAGCAACAGCATCATTTGCATTAACAATTGGAATAATATTGAGGGAGAGAAGGCTTTCAATAGTTGCTTGGAGATTTTTTCTTCTTTGAGGATCATCGATGTCTGGCTTTGTTAATAAAACCTTCAAAAATCAATATACTTTACTCTTTTGACAAAACATACTTGAGCAACGGTTATTCCATATTGTTGGAACAGTTGTTCGTATAAGGACATTAAGCCTGGCATTCCAGATGCAGCACAAGCACGTTTATCTGCTGCCATTCCCGAAGGACCCCTAAGACTACATATTCGAATTTCTTCGTTTGATTATTAGGTAAACTAAGATGAAAACGAGAAGTTTTTCATTTCCATCAGTGTCTCCCATTATTGCAGTACCTAAGCGTTTGACGCATGCTCATACTCATGACAAGTTCCTGACGAAGTTTTTGTCGTCCAAAAGCGACAGCTCCAGAAGAGACAATTAACATTTGACGTCCAGCTTGTTGAAGCTCAGATACCTACAAATTTTCCTTTTCATCAATGCTCATAACATTTTTTGTGTTTGGATATCCAGAAAACAAAAGAGTACTTTGAATGCTGAGAGAGATGTCTTATCATTATGTTGACCTCTCTCACCATTCCGATGATAACTGTTGAGAAGGGGTAATAACAAACCTTTTCTCAACATAGAATTCTTTTCAATAATAACTATAAGAATATTGGGAAACAAATGAACAAACCTGTTCAACGATTGAAGCTAATCTACCTAGTGCTAGGCCGCATTCATCTTCACGTGTGATGACAGCACTTCCAAGTTTTACAACAATACGCTCAGCATTTTTAAGTTCAGTTCGTGTATTAATAGACATGTGATGTTTACGAGATTTGGTACTGCAATCATTATGTTTAACTTTACAATTCAAAATTGCGTTCTACCTGAAGTTTCCATTTGAATCTCCAACTGGTACAGCTCCAACCGAGGTGATTGGTGTTACTGCTGGTACTTGAGCTGCTGTGACTGAGGAGGCTTTTCGTGAGTTCTGAGCCTGGAACACGACCATATTCAAAAAAAACAGAGAAAGTTTTGTAAAAAACCTTTTTAACATTGATAACTGTTGTGTTGCCCCGAGATAGAAGCCTTCTCGACTGTCGAGTGGCGATAGGCACAATTCGCATCATTTTTGTGCTAAAAAAAATAATTATAAAGAATTGAAACAAAAGAGAGAAATGAACACGATTGAAACATAAATGGTCAGGAAAGAAGGCGAAAGAGAAAAAACTGAATTCACATGCTTTCATCGATGATGGTCAGTTCGAATGACCGCAGCTTCTGCTGATATCAAGACATGATATTTCCAGCTTTAACGAATTGATAAGATGAAATATTGAGAGAAAATTAGACAAAAAGTATGAAATAAAGTAGTTTAATATGGATGCTGATAGTTAACTTCATTAAGGTTCACTCAATGCAGATGATTACAAATGATCAGTTGAAAATGAAAACCAAATAAGGCATTCCGAACGATATGTTATGATTAAAAGAAACAAAGAACGTTTGAATGAATGGATATCTCATATCCTATCGAGTGATACGGAAATTTGTTGCTTTTCCCACAAAACAACCGATCTGCACGTACCATGTTCCACAAAATGGATCTTAATCTTCTCACTTCACGTCTACTATCATACGTGGAATTTTTCACGTAAAACCTATTCTAACGCGCTGTCACGAAAAGCTCTGCTGAATGATGATAAAAGAAATGAGAAAAGAAATATTTTTTTGAGAAAACAAAACGAAAATTCAGAATCATTCAACAACACTGACCGACCCTTTGTGCTTCATCTTATCGTGTGTATGGAGAACTAGCCAAGTGACAAGACGAACACAGATAGAAAGAGAAAGAAGGAGGGAATATTTCCCTATCAATCTTTTTCTTTTCAAACGACCCAATCAAAGTAGTTCATGTCTTTTCTTCTTTTAAGATATCGATATGCTATATTTACATGAATACAAAGCAATAAACATATGATATGCCATAGGTTAAGATAAAACGCTAAACCATACCCACAAACACATATCATCCTCAACTCATCAACAAATCAATAATTATTTTTTATTTGAAAACGATTAAAGATGAGATCAATATAAGACAAGAGAGCCATGTTGGCATAAAACTTTTCTTGAGAAACAATCATGATATAGTTTTATCAACAGTTTATACTTGGCAGTCCGCCAATTGCAATCGTTTGCCATATAGGGGGACAGAGTTCGATGTACTATTTATCTTCAAATACACATAACATATAATTTATTTATTTTCAATTCATCTATTAAATTATTCTGACAATTGTTTGAGAATCAGCGAATATGAACGTCATGAACCAGTTGTAATCCGTACGATCTCGAGCCCTCATCTTCAAGTTTTCAAACTCGGTTGGATTGTCAACGACATCTGAATTTGATCATTTTGAATAATACAACTAAAAGTAAATGATACCAGCTGGCGATTCAACAAGAGTTACTAGAGCTACTTCAATAGCTGGCTCACTCACATCTACATCGTCTTCCTGATATAATTTAAGTTATCATAAAAACGATAGTTAAACTACTTTGGAAAGAACGATAGTAAACTGCTTCTCATCCGTATCAGCGCTTCCTTGTGTTAATGTGACAAAGTAAGTTGGCCTTTTACCATAAACATCCAAATCTTAAATTTCCATTATCAAACCGATCCCAATTCACATGCAAATCGTGTGAGACTGCCATGCTAATCAGTCTTTTGGGTGCAAATAATCGTGATAATAGCAATCCTTGCTAATGAAAATTAATTTTTACCAATTTTAGTCATTGACCAAGAATACAGTTCATAGCCATTGATGGGGCTTAAATGAAGGGAAGCTCTGTTGAACTCTCCTATCACCTTGAGTACTATCATTAATGATACACTGAGTGTGAACTCACGGAAAATGTGCAGCTAACCAGCTTTGGTCCTGCTTTAACCTTCTCAATCAAGTGCAGTTCAACTTCATTTCTCAACTTTGGGAGTTGATTAGTAACTTTCCACAACGTTTCACTGAAATTCCTTTGATGAGATTGAAACATGGAAAACAGGTACTGTGGAGGGAAATTTGTGTGGATAGAGTTATAGTAAGGCAGTCTGCAGTATGAGTCTATGACTCCTGTACAGTTTGGTGATTGTGCTTCAAAGAAGCTCTCCTTAGGAAGGCTGCTTACGTGACTGTAGAGTGAAAAGAAAATATATGAAAGAGAACCATTTAAAAATACTTGTAATCAAGTCCTTGTATGAAGATAGCAGATTCATCAGAAATTACCTGATCTTGATGATCCGTAATAGTCCGATGAGTATTCTGAAAGAAGAGAATTATACAGAACGCGTTAGCAGAGGTGTATTACTATGGCAATCATTCGTCGAAGTCTCGGGTGTTCGTACGAATTACTGTATGGAGAGCTTATATTATTAAAAGTTGCCAAAATGAAAAATAGGAAAACAACGAAAAGATAACGGAAAGTATTGATTCTGTGGTACTTTTCATTCAAGAAGATGAGGCAATTCTGAAAAAAAGTTTGAGAAACGATAAGCTACTACAAGAGAACTTACTGTGTTCAGAACGATGATGAAGGATGTGACTAGAGTAATCACACCAATTATGATTAATGGATTGATTTTAGTTCCTGAACGTCCGGTTATGGGAACATAGAGTTGGAATAACTGATAGATTATGTACGAAAAATATATTAATGCCGGTGATATGATGATCAAAGTGACTACTGCTTTCACGGCTGTCCTTCCTTAAAAGGAATTGTGATGATGAGTCTTGTCATGACTAACTTACTTTGAGGGACGAATAATTTACAAACAAACTGGCTCATTAAAGACAAGGACAAAAAGTTGAGCAAGATGTAAGCGGATGATATCTTATAATATGTTAATAGGTAAATGCAGACAGCAAGGATAACATTGACGCTGTCCATATACTTCTCTTGTTTGTCCCAAAATGCTGTTCCCTAAAGATAGTTTGTTCCACAAAGTATTCGAAGAGTAGGATAACCCTATAATCATTTTGAAGATAGGAATGAGCTTTGAATCCAACAATGAGCAGAGGAAGAATGAAGAAAACGTAGATGAAGTTAGGCTCTTTCCACCTACAACAAGATTACTGTCAACCTTCTACTACTACTTACCATATCTGTGTTAATCCAAATACATAAAGAAGAGCTATTACTCCCAGCAGTGATAGGAACATGAAGCCAAAGACGAACAAGTGATTCAATAAAGATTTCGATAAATCGTTTGGGGAATAAACCATTCGTTTCAATCTCATACCAACCATAAGCCAAGTCAAGAAACAGAAGAAGTAGTTCAAATATTCTCCTAAGATATTAACATGATAAGAGTTGAAGTGTCAAATGTTTACCGCTGGATTTTGAGTAATAAATAGTGAACATGCCAAGAAAATCGTAGTAAACCCATTTGGCTGAATCCTCATATCTCCAAGGCTGTTCCAAATAAGTGTTTTTCATAATAGATGAAACAACACTCAAAACATTATCACCGGCTCTGAAAAAGAAAAGATGGGTGTCAGGGTCCGAAGAGAAGTTGGAAAATGATATAAACTTGTTTATGGAATTGTACAATGGTTTACCTTTGTATAGCTCCAGAAGCTATTTTATCTTCTTTATCATATTCGGTGTGATAGATCCAACCATTCACAACATAAGCTATATCCAATCCTATAAAACGGTTGAGAATAATCATTATTTGTTTCTAACCTGATAATCCACCAAAATCTCTAAAAATTCTGAAGTCTGTATCAGAAGGGATGATTCCGGACTGGAACAACTCTTGGCCCATAACACTGCAGTATGGATGAGGCGCGTTTTGGAGATAGCTCTGAAGTAACCAAGAGTTCTTTGGGCCAGCCTTAAAGTAGAGGGTACTTGTATAATCAAATGTTCATAATGTCCTACTTGGAACAACACTTCTCTTCCACTGCTGCCAGCTCCTTCCAGGTTGATGAAAGCTCGAATATAATGTCTCCATGGATGCTGAGTGATAAATCCATGTGAAGCATGCAATCCATATTCTTCAGCTGGAAACATAACTGTTTATGATGAAAAGGAGGAAGGATGACCTCCATTAAATAAGAACACGATGTCGTACTTCAGAGTTTCTTGATGAGCAGAGAAATACGTCAAAATTTCGATCATAATGGAGCATGATACCTTAAAACTTGTAAGGTATTTCCTTCACCGATATAAACACGAACAGCGTCATCGGTGGCTCCAGGAGAATCGAAGACAGTATCGAAGTGACAGTTTATCATCAGAGCATGTTCACTTGGCTTCTCTTTCGGTCCAATGCGAGCCACTTAAAAGCATATAACTTAACAACAGAAGATAAAAACAACAACAAACCGATGTTAGTGACATTAAAGTAACACAAGGTGTAAAACCCGCGGAAGCTGATGTCAAAACAATCAGTTGGTCTCTAAGAATCTGTGATTTCATGGATAAGAAAATGAAGTGATACCTGTATATCAAACTCAAACCGATTATAGTTAGTAGCATCAAACTTCTTTTGCAGATCATCAAACTTTTCCAAAAATAGGTTGACAGCATATGTCTGTAGGATAAGAAAGAATCAAAACATCTGATAAAGAGTAATAAAACCTCAGCTGCAACAGAGCCAGTTGGTCGTGGTCCATAAGCTGTTATTTCTTTGAGAAATGAACGTGCACGTTCTTCACTGAATCCTTTCAAGTCATTAGATGATCGTACGGATGGATACAATCTATATATGGAAAACATAAGAAAAACAAAAAAAATTAAAAATATAACTCAGCAAAGCTGGCACTCCAAACTAATGTAAATAAAAGCCACAAAAAAGTAATTATAGCACAAGCTTCTCGATATACTTCAATCTTATTTTCCAACTGAAAAAATAAATAAAATAATTTCAAAAGTTTAAATAATAAAAACTTTGTTTTCTTCAACTACATGATAGTTATGATCCAATTCAGCTTTTTCATCATTCACATGGCCAGTTCTCCTACTCCTAATATGGAGATCCATTCTTAAATTGGAAACGATGAGAAAACTAGAAGAGTAACAAGTAAAGAAATGTGGATGGTACTAGAGAGAAACAGAGAAGAGAAGGGGGGTTCCCTCAAAAACATAAATCTTCACAAACATATAATCGATATTGGTTTATTGATTGTTTTTCTTTTAACTTCAACTCTCTGTGAGCATATGAAGAGATTGAATGAAAACCAATGTGTGTACTACCAAATGATTTTGATTGTTTCAAATGTTCAAAGGATATTATCAGTAAATCAATTATCTATTATGCCATAAACTTACTAATGGTATTGATTTGAAATGAATTTTAAAAATAAAAATAATAAACCAAATAAGAAATATTGTTTATTTGTATGGATAAAGCTGTACCATCATGAGATCTATCTATATATATAAGCTTCAGATACAGAGAATGTATTATCTGTAACATAAACTTCTCAAAGAAAGAAATAAAAATGAATTCTACTTTAATTCTTCTTCTTTGCACTGCCATTTACATAACTTCAACTCAAACTATAAATAGTTCTGATGAAGCTAATGTTGAGGATATTCAAATTGTTTTACCTCATTTGAATCGTAATTCATCTTCAGAGAATATTGATTCAAAATCTGTTCAGGAGTTCCATGAATGGATTATCAATCAATTGAAACCTTTCATAACTGTAGAATTACTTCAGAAGGTAGGCATCTCATTCATATCCAATACTTACAATCTATTTAAGTTGATGAAGCAGATCGAAACGCAAGAGCATTAGATTCATTGGAATAATATTTTACGTCAAATACGTGAAGCTCAAAAATACTTTTTATTTTCTTATTTTATGATGCGATGACCGGTTGTGCTCTCTTATTACAATAAATGAGATTTTTATTTTTATTTCTTATAGATAGATATATATGTATATAGTATGGGCTGATTTATTTCTTTCCATAGTATGGATATCCTCCGTAGCCACCGTAACCACCGTAACCTCCTCCATAACCGTAACCACCATATCCTCCATAGCCTCCATACATTCCTGGATATCCCATCATCATACCGCCACCAAGTAAGCTACCAAGTAACATGCCTACAAATAATTAATTTTGAATTACACAATAAAAATGAATTTACCTATAGCTTCAGTTGTCTGGATAATGACGAGAAGAGCGAGAATTGAGTAAATGAAATTCATATTTGAAAAATTTGTTTGATACAACTTCATAAACGAAAATTCCTTTTATACAGCATTTGTCTTCTCTGTCCGCCTAACTCGGATTTTGGTCTTGAACTAAAATCAGAAAAACAAGAGTTTGCTGACCATATAATTGTCATTGTGGACGACGTCACGTCCTGAAATTTATTTTCTCATATGATTTTTCATTAAAAAAAAACAATATATTTACCAAACTTCTGATAATCTCTGATCAAGTGATAGCTCTTACTTCACCTTTCTCCATTTCTCTCATAATTTGAAAACTTTTCAAATTTCCTTAATTGAACACAACCGGTTTGTTTAACGAATTCGAAACATGTGTTCCGTTTCTCCCAATAAATGATAAGTGGAACTCTGTGTATCTCCGAGTAACCACCTGAAATACCCAATGTTCTACTCAAATTACATAGGTTACAAAGATTTTCAGATCAATGATATCACTAGGTTGATCAGTTGCATCTGTAAATGAAACTTTTCTGATCGAACAACAATTTTTTAAAAGAATTTTACGACAAACGACTGACTTGAAGCGTTACGCGACCACCTTCCAACGTTTTTTTGAAGTTCAGACCAGTCTGTGATTTAAAAGATTTGGATCTGAAACTGTTTTTTGAAATGTTTTCATTTAATTCATAAAAAGAAAAGATAAATGAAAGTGAAAAGGAAAATTTTAAAAAAAGCTTAACAGACCGGTATGTTAAATGAAATTCCATGTGTTCTCAATATTTTTCGGAATCGGTTAAGCCGGAAGAATAGTTAAAAGGAGGTACTATCAATATGCTATGGCTAAGCTACCACCAAAATAAGCTATCATAGATCAGTGTTTTTTGGAGGAGTGTGAATAATCTCATTTTATTACCCGGAAAAAACAATTGAAGGTCATTACCATATACTTTTTTATATATCTGTTTAATAAGACGTATCAAGTTTATTCACTGTGTTACTTTGATTTGCAAGTTGGATCGAAATGTTCGAAAGAGTTCGTAAGCGATGAAGAGAAAACAAACTGCCAAAGCATGAACTGGACGTAAAAGCTTCATTGGTGCTGTTGAAAAAAGAGTCGAAATCTTCCATATATAAGCTTCTTCAACATCTTGTTAAGGCAGATTCAAGCAATGGAGTCAGAGAAGCAACTTATTCAACAAGCTAATAGCTTGAGAAAGATTGCCTTTACAGGTATCGCTATCAGGTACCTAATAATACTTTTTTGAATTGTATACTATTTTTTATTTTTTAAGTACTGTGGCTGCTTTGACTTGTGTCATCATTGTTCCAGCTCTCTACTCATACGTTCAATATGTTCAGAGCTCTGTCCAAACTGATGTAAAACAATATTCATAGATTGATTGCTACATTGCTCTAATTTAGGCCACATACTGCAAGCACAGAACTGAAGGACTCTTCACACTTTACGAGAAAATGCAAAAGCATAAGGGAGTTCGTGTGACCAAGCGTCAAGCTGGATACGATTCACGTGAGCAATTCATAAAATTTTTCTCAATTTCACTCTTCTTTAGCAGCTGTTGATCACTCCAGCTCAGATAGCTCATCTGATAACGGACAATGCTGCTCTTGCGCTGTTGGAAAGAGTGGACCACCAGGACCTCCAGGATCTGACGGAAACGATGGACACGATGGAGCCGCCGGAACTCCAGGAAAGCACGCTGAGGACCTTCCAGCTCCAAAAGAGCCAGCTTTCTGCTTCGAATGCCCTGATGCTCCAGCTGGACCACCAGGACCACCAGGACGTAAAGGACCTTCGGGACCAGCTGGAACTCCAGGACAAGCAGGAAGCAACGGACAACCAGGACAACCAGGAGGACCAGGATCTCCAGGACAACCAGGAAACGATGGACAACCAGGAGCTGACGGAGAAGCTGGAACCCCAGGAGTTGTCAATGAGGTTCCAGGCCCAGATGGTCAACCAGGAGCTGATGGACCAGCTGGACCAGCAGGAGACGATGGAGAACCAGGATCCGATGGAAACCCAGGTTAGTACAATAATCACATATGAGAAGTAATATTGGTGATTCAGGAGCACCAGGAGAGCAAGGAGAAGCTGGAGAGCCAGGAACTGATGGAGAGCCAGGAGCTAGAGGAGCTGATGGAGAACAAGGACCAGTTGGACCAACTGGAGAAACCGGAGGATGCAGTCACTGCCCACCACCAAGAACCGCTCCAGGATATTAATTTGTATACAAATATGACCAGCTGTGATACTCAAAAACGTCTTTCAAACGCTCATATAGTCATGATTTCTGTTCAACAGAATTCAATAAATTATCCAAACAACCATTTAATATTTCAATATATGAAATACAACTAAAGTATGTAAAAACAATAAAATCAAATTATACATTCTCTAATGACTGTGAGAATATTCTGGAAAAAAATATTATTTTCCCAAAAGAACACAATGAACATGGAATGTTTCAGCATATTCGTTTATAGAACGACGACCAACAATGTCCGATGACGAATTCAATCCACATAAGAAGATGTCTTTACCGGAGCGATTTCGATCCAATACGTTCTCCTTATTCGGTACGTTGTACTTCATTTTCGCAAAAATCGTTAACACATCATTGTATACCAAAGTATACAACTAAAAATCCGCGTGAAAAAAAAAGCGTTCGTACGTGGAATTCCACGTCATCTCTCATTTCTAAGTAAACAGCAGGTGGAACGACGGTTGCGTCAATCATTAACGTTAACATATAGTAAACTATAAGTAAGTGCATAAAGTTATTTTTCAAATCTTATACGCTCGCGCTCTTTCGAACTCTATAGTTTATTGTTGAAATATTAAAACATATGTAAAAAATGTATTTGTCATCATCATTTCTTTTTTGAACAAATCGATTCGAGAGAATTGGGATGAGATAACGCTTTCAACTTACACGTGTGATTTGATAATAGTTGTAGTAGTTATTATAGTTATATATACTGTTAAGGAATGGCTGACTTGCTACCTATCGAAGTTCCATCAAACTATCTTCGATCCAGAAATAGAGATCATACCGGATCTCTATATCCAATTAGTGATGATTTGAGGTTTTTTTTATTTCTATATGGTCAGATGTTAATCTTGCTTTAAAGATTTGATTATGGAACAGCGGGATTTCGAATGGTTGCCAATCTACTTCCTTTCGCTGTCTTCCGTATCGGTTATGTGGCTGGATTAAGATCTAGGTTTGTGGGAATAGCTTGTCTCTTCATTAGCAAATGTTACAGAGTTCTAAATAAATGCATTGGAATAATGATAACAGCTTCACATAATCCGGAGATAGATAATGGAGTTAAGATCGTTGATCCCATGGGAGAAATGTTATCATCAGATTGGGAGGTTAGCAATTATTATCACTAGCGTTGTTGAAATTAGATCTTGTACTTATCCGCTTCTGCTTCGGCTTCTTCTTGATAAGCTTTATCTCCACTAAGAAAAGCAACTCCTAAGTTGAATGCAGTATCAGCAGCCTGAAAACAAAATATGAAGCCTATGTGTTATAACAATAACACCAACTAGACGTGTTTTCTCTTTCTTTTCCTCATCTATCTCAGAGGCAATTGCAAGACCTCTGATATGATGCAAGTAGATGATCTGCTTTGCAAATTGTGGAGAAATCGCAACCACTTCTTGGAAAAACTTAAATGAATATAGTTTTGAGAGGTTGAAGTCGCTTTCATCTCACTCCGTTTACGTCTTTTGTACTTTGGAAATCCTTGGCGACTACCGCAACTTTCTCTCGTTCTTCAGCATCCAACATATTGTAAGCGTTGAAAGCAATCATAGGCACATATTCCAAAATAGATTTTTTTAGTATAAAATTGTATTGCGAGGACTTACTCCTTAATTGAAGTGGTATTTTCTCGTACAAACTTTTTTGTATTTTTGTATTCGAAGCTAAATATAGAATAAGAGATCTTAGAAATAAGCTGGCACTTACCCATGACCTTAAAAGCCATTATAACGAAAATAATATGTAGAGCCCTCATTCTTTAGGTCTGTTCATAAATCCAAAAGAATGCTTTTATCTCTTTGAAACATGTCGTGGCTGCCAACAAACAACCAGACGGTGTTCATAATGACACGTCGAACCTTGTTTGCCAACTTTGATCACTAAAAGTGATTTTTAAACTGTTAGTTAATACGATAAATTCCAGAAAATTGCCACCGAGCTTGTGAATGCCAAAGATGACCAACTACCAACAACTATCAGAGCTCTTGAAGTTCAAGTAAATACACAAAAGTTTTTGAAAAGTACTGTGACAATCTTAGATGGCACCATTACGCTCAGCAAGTAATGCTTCCGTTGTGTGTGCAATGGATACTCGAATCAGCAGTCCACATCTAGTTGAAGCTGCTCGGGCAGGAGCCGAGTTATTCAATGTTCATTTCAGAAACCATGGTAAGATAAGCAAGTTCTACTTTCATTGCTAATGAATCTGTTTATTAGGTCTTCTTACGACACCTCAGCTCCATTACATTGTGAGATGTCGCAACGATCCCGAATTCGGAGAAGCTTCCGAAGTTGGTTATTACAAGTGCCTCTCGACAGCTTTCAATGAATTGCTATCTTTGACCCCGGTAATTTATCTCGCAGGAAATGTGACTTAGTTTGAAAATCGAATTTAGGGAGAAAAAAGTAAATTACGCGTTGATTGTGCTAATGGGATTGGAGCTCCTAAATTCAAAGAGCTCATGACTTATCTGAACGAGAGTTTAGATATTGAATATGCCAACACGAAAGGCGAATTGAATCATAATGTTAATTTAGAACAGTTTTATATCTTTCTGATTTGGAAAATGTTTTTAGTGTGGTGCTGACTTTGTAAAAATCTCTCAGACACTTCCAGTTGGCTTTGAGGAGTGCCTCGTAAACGAGAAATGTGCTTCCTTTGATGGAGATGCTGATCGTCTTGTTTATTTCAAGTAATATTTGATATTCTACATGATATATGATGAGGCTGTTTAAGGAGAAAAAGTAATGATGAAAACAACGTGAGCTTACTAGATGGAGACAAGATCGCAGTTCTGTTAACCAAATATATCAAAGAAGTCGTTGAATGATAATAGATGAATAACATATGTTAAGTGTTTCAGCAATTGGATGTTGCAGGATTAAATGATGATCTGTCACTTGGAATCATTCAAACAGCTTATGCAAATGGAGCTTCTTCCCAATATATCAAGGATGCTCTGGTAAAAAATGAGAATAAGCATAAAATATTAATTATTTTTTCTTATTTTAAGGGTATTAACGCTGTATTTGTTCCGACAGGTGTGAAGCATTTACATCATGCTGCTATCAAATTTGATATTGGAATCTATTTTGAAGCCAATGGTCATGGAACTGTTGTTTTCAGCAGTAAATTTGATAATCTCGTGCGGAAGTACGTTTCTTCATTAAAAAGTCAAAGACGATGTTTCTTAATAATTGTTCTTTAAAGAAGCGAGAAAAGCAATGATGGAGTTCGCCGTTTAGCTCTCATCTCAAGAGTTATCAATGAAGTTGTTGGTGATGCTATGGCTGATCTACTGGCTGTCGAAATCATTCTTCGTCATTACGGATGGACTGTAGAGAATTGGCAGGAACAGCTCTATAAAGATTTTCCTAACGTTCAGATCAAAGTACCCGTAAGTTAGAAAGTAGTTGGAAATATTTGTAATTTGGAAAATTTTGAAGGTTGTTGATCGCTCCATTTACAAAACAACTTGGGATGAAACCACCCTAATTGAACCACCTGGACTTCAAGAGAAAATAAATGAATTAATTGCAAAGTATCCAAAAGCTCGCTCATTCGTGAGACCATCCGGAACAGAATGCTTAGTTCGTGTCTATGCTGAAGCTGAAACATCAGAAGACACCACCGCGTTGGGAGCAGCCATCGCCGACCTTGTCCGAGCTTAATGATCGAACTTTTCACGTTTTCAACTTTTTTTTTGAATAAAATGTTTTTGAGAATGTTTGATGCAGAATACTGAAGAATGCTCCCGCACTTTAGACGATTAAAAGTCAGAATGGCATTTTACGTGAACATGGCGTGCTTTACAGAGGAAACAGCAAATATTATTTTGAGGAAATAGCTTGATGGGTTTCTTGATGAAGGTGTTCCTTCTTTATTTGTTTTCTATAGATCATCGGAAGATCATTTGTGTTTTCTTCCGTTCAGCATCTCAGTCTCTCCATCTTGCATCATTCCAATAACTATTCAAAAGAACGTTTCCTTCTTTGTTCGCGTGAAACGTTCCCATACGTTCTGATTTATCCTACGTCATGGCAATCTGAAATTTTGAATAAATAAGTAACATATCCCTGAGAAAAGCTGGAGAAATCTATTTTTGCTCCGCAAATTGAATAAAAACCGTTATTTATATGTTTTTGGATATAAAATACGTCAAAACATCTGTTGAACGGAAGGAAATAGTTTATCAGTTGTCGTGACACTCCAAGACATTCTCCTCACGTCCGCTTTGATACTTTAACTTCTTTATTTGAACCAATTTGTTAAGAAAAAGGCAATTTTTCTTCTTTTTTTCTTTCGTAGTCCGGGTAACGCTGCAACCCATGTGAATGCTTGTAAGGATTGGAGTGAAGAAAAGGATAAATAGTTGAGCAAATGTGAAAAAATAAAAAGGTAGTGAGACAGAATGTGAGAGTGTAAGAGAGAGAGAAAGTGAAATGAGAGCGTTTCAAAGAGTGAAAGAGGTAAAAGAGTCTAGAGTCTAGAGAGAGATACAAAGAGAAAAACTTATTTGAAACAAGAAAAATCCCTGAGTCTCAGTCAAAATTCTTGATTCAAACTCAAACAGGTATACCGCTTCTGATAATTCATAATCACACCATTGTTCCACGTTTTTTTTTATAATTTTTGAAGCTTTTTTTTTAATCAAAAATATTTGTCAAAACAAACATTCCGCCATATATAGCTGGGTTTCTAGCCAGATTCTGAGTTGCAAATTCGTTTCTTCAGCTCCAAATGGGCACAACAGCCAGTACCAGGTGTCATGTTAAAACAATTACAACGGAATTAAACAATCCTGATTGGTAAGGAAGAGAGCTTGAAAGTATTATTCAGTTGTTTTAGGATGGAATGTGATAGAAGACGAGCTCGTCATAGCATCCCCATTATTGGATCTATGTTCGCTAAGGTAAATTTTAATTGTCCCTCTTAATTTATTCATAAAATTATTGTTCAGGGTCCAGCAAGACCTCCTCCAGCCCAAATTCGGAAAGACAAAGTTAGCCTAATAAAAAGAGCCATTAAAGCAGAAGCTGAAGCAAAAGATTGTGAAGTTAAAATTAAAATCTTAGAAAGACAGGTGCATTCAATGGATCGAAACAACCTACGAATATATTATAGTTGAGAACGATTGAACTACGAAACCATGATTTGTCAACAGAACTCGTGTGGGTAAAACAACAAAAGGAGGATAATCCTCTCAAGGTGAGCTTTGATCCATGATTGGGAAACCAAAAATATTCTTCCAGACACCATTCACATTAGAAAAGGAAGTTGAAAATGCATCTATGACAGTGACTTCAGAAGCTTTAATTAATAAATTGGTTCGTATACTCAGAACACTATTGAAGAGATGATTGTTAATTCAGAAGACGGAGAATGAGGAATTACGCGAAAATTCTTTGAATCTCATGACATCAGAAGTCATGAAAGATATTAAAATAACAGATCTAGAGAGAGAAAAGGAAGAATATAGACAAAGAATTACTCATCTTGAAGGTAATTCTATTACATTTTCTTAATTTGTAGTTTTCTTCGTTCTTTCTAGAACTGTATCGAGATAAAATCGATGATCATAGTTTGGCCAGCGTAAGTCCATCGCCTATCCAAACATCCATGTTAACATTAAACTCCTCGGACGAATTAAACAAGAATGGTGAGGAGTCGGAAGCTCAAATGAGGAAGAGATCGCAGTCGACAACATTGAAGCCTGATAAATCCATGGGCATGAGGAGAGCGTCGTTACCCAAAGGATTTAAAGAGTCAGCCATTAGTATTAATGGATTCGTAACAGATGAAGAAGAAGATTTCGATTTAACAGATATCCTGAGTACATCTGTACGATCTACTACAAAGGTTTGTTGCTTTTCAGTGTTTTCTTTTTTGTAATGAAAGAAAAAAATTTTATTTTTAGTCAGTGCGATCACAATCCGGCAAGAGCCATGATTCGGGTTTCAGCTTATCTGATTCGACGACTTCTCAAGATCGTTCTATTGTAATAGCTTAGGGGAATATTAATTATTTTCTTGTTAATGAAATAATTTCGTTCTGAAACAAAAACATTAAAATGTTCAAAAGATTTTTCGTTTTTTCTTCAATTCACTTCAATCATTTCATTGATGCGCTTCAATCGTTTCGCTTCTTCCATTGTACCGTGTTTGGTGGTGGATCTCTTGAAAATATAAAAAACAGATGAATGCATATTGTATGTGATTGGCTTACAATCTCTGATTGAAGAGTTTGCTCCCAACATGGAGTTGGAGCAAATATGAGAAGATTTGTTTTTGTTGCCAATTCTTTTACCTCAAAAAATATAATTTTCTTTTTGCACACTGAGGCTAGCTTTGGATACCAGCTGAGTTTCGTTCATCAATGAGTTATTAAGCTTCTCAATTACCAACTCCATTACTCGAGCAGTAGAAATATCCTGAAGCTTTTCTCATTTCAAGACCGTGGGTATAGCATACCATTCTCATTCTGTTTCTCAAGATGTCTAAACGCTCTGTCTGTGATGTAGAGTTATCATACAGTTTATTCAACGTCTGCAATTACTTCTCATTTGTCGAACACAATGATCACTTACTTGCATAACAGCTTTACTACAGCTTCTATCAAACGACATCGAAATACTAATGAAGGAGAGCAAATACAAGAATCTTACCAACATGTCTTCGAGAACGTTGTGGAAAAATAAAAATATTGTTCGACCTTCACTTAGTTTTCAGTTGTTCTACCAGTTTAACAAGTTCTTTGAAAGCTATCACAACCTCTCCATATTTCAGTTTTCATTGGCATTCACTCAATAACGGATGTTACAGTGAGGTATCGTAGTAGCAATCGCTGCTCATGAAAGACGAAGAATTGTAGTTCAGCTCAGCGGGCCAGAAGTCATTGAGGCATCGTTGGTTGATTTGTTTGACAAAAAAGAGAAAGAAGAAGACAAACTTAAGAATTCAGAATGTCTGAATATGATATGAAAGACTTCATCCTCTTCCTTCCTTCTCTCTTCCTTCTTCAAAAGTTAACGATGAAACAGATGCGAATAGATGAAAAGAGGAATAGTCAGTTAGTCTATCATTAATAATTAAAGTCAATCGAAGCAATTATTCAAATGCTCTCTCTCTCTCTTTTCGTCTCTCCTTCTCTCCCTCTTACTCACTCTCTCTCTCTCTCTTTCTCTTTTTTTGTGAATTAAAACAATTATTTGTTGAGAAAACACAATGAAAGAAGTATTTTCATATATATATAAGTTCTAAATTAATTCATTCATTCATAAATATTTAAAGTTGACAATTGAATGAAAAAAAAAATATTCTTATTAATAATTGATTCAATTCATTCAGCATGTGAAATTGTCATTTTCGTTCAAAAAGTTATTTAAAAACCTTTAATTAAAAATATTTTTGTACTTTTCTTGTTCATTTCAATGAATTTAATGAAAATACATTGAATCAGCCTAGTTGTAAAGACTGTGTGTACGTGTGTTGTCAATGTATGTCGTAAACTCTGTTTGTTCATTGAAATTAGCATAACCGAATACGTGACTGCACATCACGTAAAGACACGTGAAGAACGAAAAACAATTAATTCATTAAGTAAGTGGATTGATGAACGGTTGATTGTCTTCATTTTCTTCACAAAATCAATCAAATTGACTAAATTCTGTGTGCTGAAGACAAAGAGAAACAGTAGATGGAGATGAACAAAAAAAAGTTTTCATTTTTCGTCTCTTCTCTTCAACATCTTCTTCTGTCCATCAACTGCTAATCATTGACTGTGCTTGCAGTGAGCCAAACAATTTTGCTCAGAAATTGTGCTTATTTCCATGTATACACATCTATGATATGGCTGTATGGCTGTGAGTGAGTGTGTGTGTGTGTGTGTGTGTGTATGCGTGTATGCGTGTATATGAGTGAGTAACGTGTAGAAAGAGTGAGAGAGAGATGATAATCAAATTGTCTGTTTGCAATTAATCATATTAATTATATCATATAATATATAGTTAGCTAATCTACCATGATACATAATTAACTATTATAGTTAACAAATGACAGTTTTGTTCAGAAACACATAATTTATATGCTTCACTTCATATAGTTATAATAACAGATTGGAAAGTTTAATTCATACATTCCAATCGAGTAAGCTGTTTTTATTTTATTTTTTCTTGTTTTTCTTTGAATTATTTACTTTATTATTAGTACAATCAGGTGAAATTCTGCTTTTTTTACAGACTGCTCTCACTGTTTTGTATTTCAAACGACTTTTCGTCGTCTACAATTTCCTAACAAATTGAAAGAAAAAAATATTCGTTTTCTTCTCTTCTGTATGTGAGATCTGCGGTGTGTGGATGTGTGTGTGTGTGTGTGTATATGAACGTGTATGTGTATGTGCATGTGTATGTGCATGTGAGTGTGTCTGTTTATGCACGTAGATGTATATGAGCATGTGTATGAGAGTGTGTTTGTGTGTAGATCTGAATTTCCTCTCAAAATTATGATCATTCATCAAGTTCAGAAGAAATATGCTTGTCAAATACAATCATTTTGTTATTTCTGTAGATTAAACCTTGAATGTGAGAATTATTAAAAAGAATTTTCTTTTCTTCTTTTCCTCTCCCCTCCTCATTACATTTCTTCATCTCTTACCTCTTTCTGCCTCTCTATCTCTTCTTCCATCCATCTCTCTCTCTTTCTCACTATTTCTTTTTCAAGCTTTTTTTTTTCTGTAGAAATGTTCATTTGAATGAGAAGCTTGTAATACATCATTCATACATGAGAACACAGACGACACTTTGTTCTCACAAAAACCGCATATTCCGCCTTCATATTCTCAAGAAATTTTCTTTTTGATCAAAAAAAGATAAAATAGAATTATCTATATAAATGGTATTGTTTTCACATATTGCACACTTTTTCCCACATTTCTTCCCCTTTCTCTCATCAAATTGTTCATTTTCCATGTTTTTTCATAGAACAAATTAATTTTTTTTGTATCTTTGCCATGTTTGGACTTGTTTGAAAAAACTTTTTTTTCTCTCTCTCTCTCTCTCTCTCTCTCTCTCTCTTTCTCTCTTTCTACGATTGACTAATATTGTGCTTCTCCTTAATATCATATGCGAATAATAAGAATAAGGAATAAGCTGGAGCTGTAACAAGACAGAGCGATGAGGTAATAGCTAATAGCAGCAAGAAGAAATCTTGATGAAGCTTACCCAGTTTTTCTTCATTTCCCTCTAAAGGTAAAATGAAATCTGAATGAATAATTAATATCGTCATGTAATACTTTTCAAATACATTTCCATCTGTATGTTAGTCTATCAATTTCATCTAAAAATACATTTAAGTATTCAATTTGTATTGTTCAACTTATTTCATTGTATTTTGTATTTCGATCCGAGAACTTCTTACAAAAGAAATACAAAAATGATTTTGTTCGCTATAAGCTTGTAGCAAAAATGCTTGAATTGTACTTAATTCAATTTAAAATATTGTTATTTTCATTCCTTCAACAATCGCACCAACCGTTCTATCACCAAGTTCAACATGAAAATGAAATTTGACAGTAAAATTACACGTAAACAGCATACACGTACACGTACGCGCTTACACACACACACATCTACACACATCCACGTGACGTCAAAAATATTTTTGCATATGCCGTCGTCAGAAAGTGCTATCCTGTGTGTGCAATTTCTTTTTTTTCTTTTATATTTTACATTAAAATTTATCTATTTTATTTTATAAAAATAAATAAAGAAAAGCTATTGTAATATCCCACGCCTACCACACACACACTCTCTTCTGCCATTTCTTCTTCTTTCTCAATTCACAATAATGATTATTATCATTACAATATATAGATATATATATATATAAATATATTTTTTAAATGAATTTTAATAAATGATATGAGTTTTTCATTCTAACCTCCCACACAATGCTTTCTCGTTCATTCATCTTCTTACAATTCTACTTTTGTTTCTTGAAAGGACTACATCTTCTCATTCTATTTTCAAGCTCTCAAATGAGAAAAAAATTGAGTTTTCACATATGTTTTTTTCTTTTTTCATTCTCTCTCTTGTACTTCCTCATGGTTGTAAAGCTAATTATTGTAAAAATGATTGGTCATCTGAATATCTTAGCAAAGACAATGTTCCTTCCTCCGCATTCCTGCTTAAAGGCTAACTCTTGAATGCCTTTTCAACCATCCTCCACCCCCCCCCCCTTCTCCCGTTCCTTCTTCCTTATTTCTTTTCTCCTTATCTGTCTTGCTCTCACAACCATTTTGTAGATTCTCACTCTTGATGACGTTTATTCAATAAATTTTTTATTTGAAAATTAACTTCATTCAATATTTTTATGGAAAAATTGATGTTAATCTAATATTTATAAGCTTTTATTGGAGAACTTCCTTAATTAACAATTGATGGTCTTCCCCTCCCTCTCCATCTCTCTTTGCTTCTTAAAAAACACATTTTATTACAAACACTTAGTGTTCACACTGCTCACACTGACGTGATTTTGCATATTTATCTTCAAATCAAACATCCTCCCATATGGCTCTATGGCATTACCGTAAACTACCAGCTATCCCGAATTGTTCTTCTGCAAAAGAAGTTCTTTTACATCTGGATGAACTTCATCTATTTCATCAACTTCATTATTCAATCGTCGTCATATGGTCGTCGATTCAATCATGTGCTTCGAGAAGGAAAGCTGATTATCTTTTTTTTTTCTTTTTTTTAGTTGATCGGAAACAATTCTTTCTCGTCCGCAACACTCTCCTATTTCCTCCATCTTTCTCTCTCTCTTTCTCTCTCTCTCTCTCCCTCTCTCTCTCTCTAATCTTTATTTTATTTTGGTGTTCTGCGTCCATTCCCAGAATTTCAGCTTTTCATTAAACTAATTTTGAATTTCCTTTTTTTATTACAAAGTTTCATCCTCTTTTAATCGTTCTTTTTCTTCTTAATCTTTGGACCATCCTTCTTTCTCTTCCATTATCCCTTTCCAGAGTCATCCCTTTTTCCTCATCAACCTTCCGCCACCCTTCATTCATTCTACTATGAGGGATTTCAATATCCCTCTCCAATTCTCTCTTTCTCTCTTCCGGTTTTCCATTATCAGACTCAACCTCTTTCGAAATAGATTAAACCTTTTTTCGTCAGTTCATCTCATCGCTCACATGGAAATTTGGCATGAATCATCCTTTTTTTTTTGAAAGAGTTTCATTTTTTTTCCAACTTCCTCGCTTACAATGTTTTCCTTTGTGAAATTCTCTTTTCTTCACAACAACAACGATTTCCCTCATCTTTTCCCTGCTCATATCACTTCGCTCACGAAAATGATCTGACTTCACTTAAAGAGAAAATGATTTCTATTCACACAATCTCCGAATAAAACAAATCCCACAAAAGGAATTTCTCTTTCTTCATTCAAATTCCACTTTATTCGGAATCAGAATTTTCTTCTTTTTTTTTCTTCTTAACAAAGAGATTTCCCTCCAACATCGTTCTGACTTCATTTGAGTTCTCGTTTGCTTCTTCTTTCTGCTACTTCCCCTCCTACTCTCAAACGAGAACCTCCCTCACTCATTATGAATCTCTCCTATGGGCCTCCTACCCATACAAGTAAGTCTCGGTGCTTCTTCTCTCCCCATTCAACT